GGCGTGGGGGTAATGGGGGTGGGGATGGTCTCAGTGCAGAGCCTTGGGGTGGGGCTGGAACGTGGGACCCCAGCAGCCAATTAGGGTCTCCTTGCTTCGAGTTGGGGGTGCAGATTTCTCTCCTCTCTTCCAATCTCCTACTCGGCCCACCTCACCCGCCTGGATCTAGGATCGGGAGAACCCAGTGGAGCTGCGCCTGTCAGGCTCGGGACCGGCGGAGCTGGGGGAGCTGAGCGCTGGGGAGGACGAGGAAGAGGAGTCGGAGCCGGTGCCCAAGCCACTGCTTCGTTTCGGCGGCCGCCGGAGCTCCAGTGAGAGGCCGGCCTGGGGGGCTATTTGCAGGTTCCTCCTCCCGCCAGCTGTGCTCACACTCCGGTTCCCGGCCTCCCACAGGTCGCTGCCCGGATGGAACTGAGCAGAACCGCGTGCGAAACAAACTGAAGCGGCTCATCGCTAAGAGACCGCCCTTGCAAAGCCTGCAGGAGCGGGGTCTGCTCCGAGGTGAGGGGGGCTGGCCCAGCGGGTGCCTTTCTCCTTCGTGCCTCCAGGAGTGTCTTTATGTTCCTGATCTGGGCATCAGCCCATATCATGGATGAGAAAACTTCAGTGAGGCTCCGAGTAGAATTTCTCTTCGGAGACGGTTGCTTTTCCCACTCCTGCTGACTTTTGGGAGGTGTGTGTACCTGCTTGTATAGGCCTAGAACAGGCAGCCAGGAGGGCCAGCCCAACTTTGGAGTGAAGGCCTGTGCCGAGCAGAGCTTCCGTGGGTGGCACTGCCACCTCATCCTGTGTCTCCCCAGACCAGGTGTTCGGCTGCCAGTTGGAATCCCTGTGCCAGCGGGAAGGAGACACTGTGCCCAGCTTTGTGCGGCGCTGCGTTGCTGCTGTAGATAAGAGAGGTGATTTTCCCAGAGACCCCGGGGCTACCCTTCCAGCAGGCCAAGGCCTGGGATCTCTCACCTCCCTCACTCTTCCTTTTAACCTTTTCCCTTCCACCCTTGGTTCCCTCACCAGACCTCATCACACACATTAGAGCAGGAATCCTTATCTCCTTTTTCCTTGCCTCATCTCCTAGGTCTAGATGTGGATGGCATTTACCGGGTGAGCGGGAACTTGGCAGTGGTCCAGAAACTTCGCTTCCTGGTGGACAGAGGTGAAAAGGCCTGTGGGCAAGTGGTGGTACTAAGAACTTCGTGTCTCAGAACCACAGGCGGTTCCAAGGGAGCGAGCTGGCAAGCAGGGAGGTCTTCCAGCTGGAACTGCATGTCTTAGCTCTTAATCTCTTCTCATACCTGTTGCAGAGCGGGCGGTCACCTCCGATGGGAGGTACGTGTTCCCAGAGCAACCAGGACAAGGTACTTACATGAAAGGCCCCTGAGACCCTTAAAAATCCCCCACATCCTCCTTTCTCCTATGATTCCCCATGTCCTGCTCCTGGAAGGGTTGTCCCCATCCCTACCTCTGCTATCCTGCCCTACTGTAGACTCCCCAGGCCAAGCATGTCAAACTCAAAGGCTAACACGGGCCAAGTAAATGAGACATGCAGCCCGTGGGCCGAGAGTCTGACATGCTTGCCCTAGGCTTTCCTATGTCTGCCTCAGCTGGATCTTCTCCCAAACTCCTGATCTCTCCGTCTCTGGGTCCCTCTGGCCCTTCATGAGCTCTGAACCCTTCTACACCTCCTTCTTCTTCCAGAAGGCCAGTTAGATTTCGACAGTGCTGAGTGGGATGACATTCACGTGGTCACTGGAGCCCTGAAGCTTTTTCTCAGGGAGCTGCCCCAGCCTCTGGTACCCCCACTGCTGCTGCCCCATTTTCGTGCTGCTCTTGGTAAGGGATGGGAGCTTTGGGCAATACCAAAAGTAGAAGTTCTCTTACACTCATCTGTCTCATCCTGAACACAGAGATGGAAAATAACTTTCAACACATGTGCCAACCCCAGTTGTTATTGGTTTGTTGTGTGTGTGTGTGTGTGTGTGTGTGTGTGTGAGTGTGTGTTTAGAGTGCTGAGTTGAGAAGATTTCTAAGGCTGCAGTTGGGCTCAGAGAAAAAGGAAGCTGCTATGCATAAATGATGTCTTCCATGGGCCTGGGAAAGAGTAGTAAGTTACCCACCCTGCACTAGCACCTTCCCTAAGTTCACCCCCGTGCCCTTCCCATGACTCTTTCTCTATAGAGCTCTCGGAATCAGAACAGCGCCTCTCTCGAATAAGAGAATTAATAGCCTCAATGCCGAAGCCCAACCATGACACTCTGTACCACCTCCTGGAGCATTTATGCAGGTCGGGAAAACCGAACATCTTGTTCACTCAGGGAGAGGGTGGGGTGGGGCATGCAGCAGGGACTTTGTTCGAATGGGGTGAAGGTAGGGAAATACCCAAGTTTAGAGCAGATGGATGAGACAGGCAACTTTTGTGCAGGGGTCATATTATGAGGGTTAAAACCTTTGGTCAGCATCAAATGGGGGAAATGGGGACCAAGATAAGCACAGTGATGCTGTGTGAGAAGGAAGGGAAATCTAACCTCTCCCTTCCCGCTGCTCCTTGCTTCCCATTGGAACAGTGGTGATGGCTTATTTGGCTGAGCTGGGCCTGGGCAGTGACTTCTGAGAGAGGATAGCCATTAGAGGACTCTAGGGGCAGTCTCTGACGCTGGGAAGGGGTGGTTGTATCCTGGCTTGTATCTTCAAGTTGTATCTTGAAGGTTTCCCCACTGGTCCTATCTCATCCCCCTTGAGGCTCTCTCTCCTTGGTTTCCTTTGGCCACTACGTGGAGGGATCCCAGTCATCCCCCTTGAGGCTCTCTCTCCTTGGTTTCCTTTGGTTTCCTTTGGCCACTACGTGGAGGGATCCCAGAGTGAACTCTTCCCTGCTCAGATCTTTGAAGGGTTAGGTTTCTTTGAAGTGGCAAAGCTGCCTCCTTATAGCCCCTTCTCTTGGCCTTTGCCCACAGGGTGATAGCACACTCAGATAAGAACCGCATGACCCCCCACAATCTGGGAATTGTGTTTGGACCAACCTTGTTTCGGCCGGAGCAGGAGATATCTGACCCAGCAGCCCATGCTTTCTACCCTGGGCAGCTAGTCCAGTTGATGCTCACAGACTTCACCAGCCTCTTCTCCTGACGGGGGCACGGAAGAAGAGAAAATGTGTTTCCGGTGGTACCCTTTGGTGTTGTGGTGTGTTCTGAGGACATCCCTTTAAATCCTGTGTCTCCCAGATGACTGTCTCCATCTTTGTGAGTCTGACCTGAGGGGTTGGGATGTGGTGAGATAGCTTCTCTAAAGAGGAAAGTGGGAATTAACCCCTGCTTCTCTTCTTGGTCACTGTCATCACCCCTCCGCAAGATAATAGCACATAAAGCAGGGCTTTTTCTGATGCAGTTCCTTTATTAAGAAACAGTGTCATTATCAAATTCCTCCCCCAAATATATACAGATTTTATACAGCCCCTAACCCCTACTCGTATCCCTGGGGCATCCCCGGGGGCTATGGCTCCTTCTCCTGACTTCTCTGCGGGGATGGACACCCCTTAGGAAATGTGGATCTGTGATGGGTGGGATTCCACACTTTAGGCACTAGAATTGAGGAATTGTGTCTCACCAGGCAGGGACCCCAGTAAGACACTCATGCTGCCCACAGCCATGTTGGGGGCTCCTGAGGGAGGTGCAGTGTGTTCAGAGCTGCCCCCCTGCTCGTGGGAAGGGGGAGGACTCAGCCCCTGAGCCTCATCCAGAATAGCCACAAAGTCCAGCTGAGTGTTGTCAAGATCAAGAGAGTCCAGGGGGTTACACACCTGTCCTTCAGGAGGAGGGTATAAAGCAGGGCCCCCTCCCAACCTGCCCACCTCAGGGTGCCCACAGCTGGGGTTGGTGCCCCCTGCCTTTAGGGGCCCATAGCAAGTGGGCAATGGGGGCAGAAGTCGGGGTGGTGCTGCTGCTCTATGGGAAGCTTTAGTTCCCCCCACTGCAAAGTTTTCATGGCATGGAGAAGGGGTAGAATAGGAGCCTGACTTGTGATTGGGCAAGTTAGGAGGAAAGCCAGGTCCATACGTGGCCATGGGGGCCTTGGCAGGGCTTGGGCTAACCTGGGACCCTCCCAGAAACTTGGGACTCTGGTAGAGAGGTTCCTGGACTGGGGGATCTCCCCTGCCCCCACCCTCCCACAGCAGCTCCTGTTGAGACTGAACATAATTACACACAAGCTGAGCCTTGAGCTGTCCTGTGGAATGAGTGGGATGATCAAAATCCGGGCCAGGCCTGGATTCTGAAGGAAGATAATCAGGGGGTGGCTGGGGATAGGGGCCTGATGGCGGATATTGGGGAGGGGGAGGCTGGGGGTAGTGGGAGAACAGAGGCTGTGGGCATGGAGGCCCCTCATTGGGGTGGACATTGAGGCAGGGTGCCGGTCCTGTGGAGTCAGAACCCATTGGACACCCCTGTTCTGGCTTGACTTGCACATGTCCGTAATGTTCAAGACGAGGACACTGGCTGTAGGCTCCAGCTGGAGGCTTGGTGCCTGGGTACAGCCCAGAGTGGGCAGGGAACTCACCCCATGTTTCTGGGGTGGGGTCAGGATAGGAGACCTGCTGGGGACAGGGATTGTGGTTGTAGTTGGTGGGTGGACCAGGTCCAAGAGGCAGGGAGCCTGGACCTCTAGCTCCATAAGGCTCAGCGGCTGTTCCCTCAGGTCCCCTGTAACCCAGAGGATCAGCAGGTGGGAAGTCCATATAGGGGTTCAGGCCACTGTCCATCATGGAGGTCCCAACCTCTGGCTCCTCCCGTAGCCCTCTGGTATCCACAGCGACATTCTCAGTGATGCTGGGGGGCTGTGGTGAGTAGACAGAAGTTGGGAGTTGGGGATCAAAGTTCCGTCCTCCCCCTGCCACGGTAGGGTATGTGTGAACACAACCCAAGCTCTTGAACCGCTGGACCCTGGCTGGGGCCGGGTGGTCAGCAGCCCGGGCTGGGTCACTGGCCCTCCGGGTGACCCCTGCATTGGGGTTGTATCCAGGATACTCAGCTCGGCTTCTCCAGGGAGGTCCAGGGAGACCCCCCATCCGATCTAGGCTGGATGCTGCAGTGGGTGGGGTACCACCTCCTCTGGCTGAAGCATATCTCGTCCGGAACAGGTAGTGCTGGGCAGGGGTGAGGCCAGGCAGAGAGGATGCCCCGTTCTCTGGCGGGGAGCCAGGGGGAAAAGGAGAGGCCAGGGAGGAGCGGCGGCTGACAGTGTAGGCTGAGCTGACGCTGCTGGAGCTGCTGCTGCGGCGGTCAAGAGAAACTGGGGGGCCCAGACGGCGGGACACAGGGGTGCCTGCAAGTATAGGGAAAAAGGCAGGGTGGTCAGGAAGCCCCCTGAATTTCACCTGCCTGCCCCATGGGACAGCCTTGTGCTGGAATCCCGGGGAAAGGCTCCTTAACTCTAACCACTCAGTTCTGTCTCCCCTTTCTCCCATGCCCCTTCTAGAATCTTCTGTGTCACCAGGGGTTCCAGGCTGCTGTGAACAGTTGTACAGGTTGTACCTGGTACACTGCACAGTTCTAGGGGACAGCATTCACCTCCCAGACTGTGTATATCACAGCAATTTTCTGATGGAAGGAAAGTGTCTTAAGCAAGGGGGGCCTTGTTCTAGGGTACAAAGCTTCTATACTGAAGCTCTGAAGGGTGAAGTCCTCCCTCCAACCTCAAGGAAGGTCCAGATCTCAGGTCTCACCAGTGTGGGTCAAGCTGGGCAGTTTGAGGCCCCGGGGCCCTATTGGCCGGAGTTGATGTAGCTGGTCCAGCCTGAGGTTCTCAAGGCGGCGAAGAGTGGACAGACCGGTGCCAGCAATGCAAGGCCCCTCGTCCAAGCTGGACAGGTCCTCAGTGCTGCCCCCTGTGTTTCCAGTCATTTCCACACCACTGTCGGTGTTCGCCGCGCTGCCTGCTGGGGAGTGGTCACTGCTGCAGGACGACTGGGCCCCAGGACTTGGCTGTGGCTTCTGTGGGGAAGATGAGGGCTGAGGGTGGCACCCTTCCCCCTTTCCCTGAAGTTGGGGAGTGGCTACAAGCCTGTGTCCCAGTGGCTGCTCGAGTTGAGGGGAGGCTTACAGGTGTAGAGAGGGCTGAACAGGGGAGGGACAGGGCAAAGTAGGAGAGATGTGGATGAGCAGAGCCGAGGCTGGAGCACAGATCGCCTGGGCTCAAATTTGTCCTCTTAGTTCTATGACCTTGGGAAATTTCTCTATGCCTGAATTTCCTCATCTGAAATGGGGAAAATAAGTTCCTTTCTCGTGAAGTTGTTGTGAGGTGTACACGAAATTATACAGGTAAAGGGCTTGGAATAATTACACGAAAATCCCTAAGTTTGGGCTAGTCCAAGGAGCCACACGGGGACAACTAGAGGACCGGCCAAGGAAGAGTGAGGATGGGATGGGCGAGCTGGGACGATGTCAGCAAGGCGGTGTGAGGGGGGCATGGAGGCGGAGGCCTGTCCGGGCGTCTCACCATGGCACCCTCTGGCACAGTCAGTCTACTCTCCTCCCTGACGGGGCCGCCATCCCGCTCCCTCTTGGGCTCCACTGTGGAAAGGGATGGTGCCCGCGGCAGGGGGCCGTCCCCTCGGTGCCGCTTGGTCACGTGGGCGTCAGGGCCGTGCACCGTCTTGACATGTTTCCGGAGCGAGCTGGGATCCGTGTAGCGTTTGGTGCAGCCAGGGAGCTTACACACATATGGCTTCTGTTGAGTGGAAAATGAAGACAGCAGACAAAGGTGTGAAAGTGGAAGAATGCAGAAGGAATGCAAAAAATTGGTGGCATCAAGTGAGGACGAGGGGCAAGGGGTTACGCACAGCACTCAAGGAAGGACGAGAGTGGGGCCCATGGAGCAAAAAAAATGAGAGGATGGGGCAGAGATCAGGAAAACTGACAGCCCGGGCCTGGGAAAGGTGAAGGGTGAACCCAGGTCTGTGAAGCCTCATAAACTCAGGGGTTGAAGGGATCAGGGGTCTCCTTTAGTTAGGATGGGTCTTTTTCAAATTAGCCCTTTGGCTGGTTAGAAGTCGGGGGTAGGGTGGTAAGAGGAAATTCTTGGTTTCAGAAAGGCCCTCTCCGGGTGAATTATACAGGTGGGGAGAACTCACCTCTGTGGAGTGGGTGCTGGGCTAAGGGATTTCTTAAGGGGGAATCTCCCTGATAGGTGGCTTCTCAGGTGGGGAGGGTCTCTTGGGTGGGGCACTCACCTCGTTGGAGTGGGTCCGATTCTGGTGCTTGGCCCGGTCACTGGCATTGCTGAAGGCCTTACTGCAGCCCTCGTGCTCGCACATGTATGGCTTCTCACCCGTGTGTGACCGCAGGTGTGTCTTCAGATTTTCGAGGCGTGAGTATGACTTCCGGCACCCCTCAAACTGGGGGATAGAAGGGTCAAAGGATAGCGCTCAGACAGAAGGACATGGGATTAGAGGAACCCTGAAACTCAAATGGGACATACGTCAGAGACTATAATTTAAGATGGGCGAGCACTGGGGCAAGGGAGAATCCCCATCATGAGGGGAAGAGGGCAGACAAAAGCTGGGGCAGCAAGTAGCTGGAGGCACTCTGCCTGCAGGGACATGGAGCTGAGGCCAGAGCATCTGGTCTCCCTGCATGGGGATCTTGCACTGTTTTGGGGTGGGGTGATCTGGGAGTGTCTTCTGTCCTCCATGCAGGGCTTCCCCGTGAGGCAGAGTGGAAGGCACAGTGCCTAGGGCCCACAGTGCTTTCAAGGGTCCCACAGAATTGTTTTAATTTCTTTGAGAAGCAAGGGGAAATTAGCTTTTAAATCCAAGAAAGTGTTCCAATATATAATATCAATATGTTTATCATCATACCAACAGTCATGAAACACACATTTTTAATATCTGTTTATGGAGGCAGGGGCCCATGTGGGCAGCCCCAATTTAAGGAGGACCCTGAGCCTGGGGAGAGGGAGCCTCACCGTGCACTTGTGTGGCTTCTCGCCCGTGTGTCTGCGCATGTGGACCACCAGCATGTACTGGGCTTTGAAGGGCCTCAGCTCCCTGGAGCAGCCCCCCCAGTGGCACACGAACTCCTTCCGCTCCCCATGGATGTGCTCGCTGTTGATGTGCTGAGGGAAGAGGTGCAGAGGCTCTCTGAGGTTCTCCTATGCCTAGAGACCCAGACCTCCTTCCCTTGACCTTCCCGCCACACCATATTCCTCCACGGCTCCACTTCACGGGGGAA